TGAATACCTGCTTAAATGTTTTATAAACAGTGTTGAATTTGTGGGTAGCTTAGGAATTTTAGAATTTTTTGTTAAAGAAAATTTGCTGCTTTAGATGTAAGTGTTTCTAGAATGTGTTAAGGGAAAAACAGTTGTTTCTTTTACAAAGAAAATGTTAATTCCACTCCACAGTAAATGTAATTCAGTCAACAAGTAAAAAGTCGGTTTTACTTAGTTAGGCGAGCTAATAAAACTGGTAAATGATCAACAAAGTACGCAGAGTTGTATTTTTGTCGTTGTTTTACATTCAGTATTTTTATATTCATTATTAGCATACAAATACATTAAATGATATCATTATTTTTTTTTAAAGTAAATTGTGACTCCGAAACAAAATGTACGATGTATACGAGCATAACTCTTCGGTAGCAACATCTTCTTCCCCTGTTCTTCAATGTAGTGTTGGAAGAGATTTCTTCCAATTATAAAGTATTTCGTGTCAACACGTTATGGGACGTTGACTCCTATTTCAGTCTGCTTTTCTTTCTTGATTTGCTTCCATAACCTTAGTCCAAGAAAGAGAAATCCACAAGACAGCTGCAGTTTGATTTTGGAGTTGTCTCTCCTTAATTGAATAGTTTTAGCTTACTCGACCACGCCGACCCCTAAAAAACGACCTTTACATTTTAAAATAAAATTTTAAGAATATACAAATAGAAAAATATTTGCCCTTTGAAAGCCTTCTTCATATATATATACATATATATATATATATATATATATATATATATATATATATATATATATATATATATATACCCATTAGGGATGCTCAGGACTACATCAACTGTATGTCACAACAATCAAGCTGCCAAATTGCATCTAATTTGCTCGACGAGCAAGTTGATAAAATGAACACTTTTCTGAGTCAGAAAAGAGCTGGGTGTTGTAAGTATTTGATCGTTTGCCTAAATTCAATATTTTGTTTAGTATTAAATATTGATTCATAGATTAATGCGGAGCGTTTGGGTTGTATCGACGGACCGTTAAACGCTTGGATGAATGGATGGAGAGACAAATAGATGCATGGAAGGGTGGACGGATATACACACATATATGTTTATAAATATATAGATATTTACCATATATATATATATATATATATATATATATTATATACATATTAGTTTAACAGTACTTTTAATCGATCTTAGTGTCAAGAAATATATTATATTCAACAGTTATATTTCTTTTAAAAATAAAATTTAATCTATCTTCTTTTCACAGCTGTTTCAACATCAGGGACTTTAACCAGTAAGTAGTTATAACATTTCTTTTGTCATGTAAAAAATATTTATTTTTATCAATGCGTACTTACGTGCGTGCGTATAAGTCGTAGCGTGTTTTATACTTCATGTGCAATTACCTATATTATGCTGCAGTAAGTGATTTAAACGCAGTAATTATTTATCAGTTAAGAAATATTTGTGCTTTTTTACGTATCAAATGACTTGATGATTAATGAATTGTGCTATGTATTTAATAAATTATACTGTAATTAATCAATAACATGATATATGTAATAAATGTGTGCGATATATTTTCCCCCAGTAACCAGAAACGGAGCAGCATTTATCTGCCCTTCGTTCACAACGCTCACAATCCTTGCCACTCTGCGATATGTAGTCTCTCAATGTTTTCTACATCGTTAGATGTAGGATACTTGACGATTATTTCTTGGACGCGAGGTCCTTTATTCAGAAGATTTTTTAATGTACATCATTTTGCTTATTTTAACACTTTCGATCATACAAATGGATGTTTCATGTGTATTTCGCTTAGACATTCTTTTACTTTACATGTAATCTACATAAATAAATAAATATTATATATATATATATATATATATATATATATATATATATATATATATATATATATATATATATATATATATATATATATGTGTGTGTGTATGTGTGTGTGCAGGTACTTTCATTGATCATATTCGTCACATACATGTCACACATCGATTTCAATAAGTCTCGATTTGGAGCGCAGTAGTGTAAAAGGTGCAAATTGCTGAAAACATTGTTAAATATATTTTTAAAAAATAAGTTTTTCACTATTGGGTTTATTGTTACAATTTTAAATGTTAGTAATTAATTCTTCTAAAATACTACGTACATCGTAAATATGTCGATATAGTATGTTTAACAAAAATTAACGACCTAGTTATTGATTTATACTATTTTTTATCTGCATTATTACATTTTATTTTTAAAAATAATTATGCTGCCATCAAATAAGATTAATTGTGCTGTAAGGAATTGTTATTTCAGTTTCAGTTGTTTAAATTAGTTCAAAAGGATACTATTTTCTTTTAAAAAATCAAGAATATTTTCATATTTTACCTTGCCTTTTGTCCGAAAAGATGTGCTTCATATCATGTTAATTTGAAATGCCCTGTTGGTTCGTGCTTCGAGTTTTTATGTAAGAGAGAGTGTATCATTTTGGGAGATGGCTGATGTTTAAATACAACCATTCGATTCCATTAGCCACTTTGTAGTGTGTTGGATGTGTTCACAAAATAAAGCATTGTTTTCAAAAATTGTTTGTTTTACTCTCTCTTCAGTCATCTACCGTGGCTGGTTCAGTTACAACAATGATCATTGTCCTTCTCTCTAAATCTTGATCTTTTTGGCTTTAGTTCTCCTACATCATTTATTCAACCAGCACATTAGTGGCTTGTGCATGAAAAAGCACTAACAACACATCCAGTAAGCGACTGTGCACACAGGATACAAGTGAAAAAATACAAAGTTTAAATAGATGTTATAAAAGTTTATGTTAACTTGTACGCAACCTGATAACATATTACTTCCAATTTCTTAAATTAGAGTTCGATCCCAAAAAACATTCTCCACATAAAGAGACATACTAAATTGTTTTAAAAAATTGCATCACTGCAGTAGATTGAGACTGTAGTTGATAAAATATATTTTTTTCCTAACTATGATTGAAAAGTGTCGTCAGATTTGTGCCGTCTTTAATTTCTCTAACACGAGTCAGGGACACGGACATCCAACCAATTCAAGCCTGGAATTCCAACTTTTGGGTTAGCAGTCGTATACTCTAGCCCTCAACCACGGCGTTCCGTTGATTTACGGTTGTATGCGCTCACATCTAAATACAAGGCTACGTCCTAGCTATTGTGAGTATATATTAACTTATAACCAGAATTTACTACGACGGCGTAAATTAGCGGTAGTGCGCCAGACTGATAATCTCTAATTTGAATCGGGGTTTAAGTTAGTAGAACGTCCCTGAGTCAACCCAACTCTGATGGGTATTTGATGGTTAACTTTACTTTACTTGCCTCATGAACCATCAGGTTCGAAAAGGGAAATTTATTTTTATTTTATTTTACCCAGAATATTACTTCCTTTATACCTAAAACATTGTTACATAACTAGACACATTTACTTTTAAATATAATGCATTTTAAATATCATGAACCCAGCCACATATTAACTTTCATGAGATAAATACGGTAAACTCAGGTGTTACTGGGAAAAATAAATCATATTTCACCGCCTGCAGGAAAAACCGCTTCAATTATATGGTGTCTCGACATGAAGATTTCAAAGACACGTTCGACCTTGAATAACCCATTCTAAATCAGCCTAAGCTACCGAAACTAAATTCTATAGCCTTGGTGGTTTCCCCCAAATGCTAACAATGTGTCAAGAGTTTTTCATTTAAATTTCAATTATGTGCAGTATTCCGTTTTTTATACAGCTTGCTGAACATTAAAGGTAGAATTAATTTTACCTGATCATCGTAAAAACGTGAACAGGTGCAGTTTCTCTGGCCGGTGATAGAAAAAAAGGAACAGAAACTGAAACTAGATTTAGGTGCGTGGAAAAGTGTGGCCTGCCGTCTTTGTCACTTTGAACGAAATGGGTCAGAAAATTATTCCAGAGGCTGTTTTCATTTTGGACACCACAGGGTCTCATGAGTTGCCACTTATCATTAATGTTGAAAGTGTATTTAAAGAAAATTAATAATTTAAGACTAAATATTATACAAGTGTTAAATGCAAGAACTGGAAAAAAATGTGTTATCCGTCTGAGGCTATATTTCTATGTGTTTAAATTAAGCCGAAATTGTAACCCGTAGTTTCACTTTTCTAATATAAATTTGTTACCCCACTTTTTAATAGTTTTTACTCAAAACATTGTAGGTTCATATGTTTAAATACGTAAACATTTTTAAAACCAACTGACCTAGCTTTGCAACGTGTATCTACCTGTTGGTTAAGTGCAAACAACTGTCTTGGTTTTGCATTTTTTTACTTTCTCGTATACGGATATAGAAGAATTATTGTTATCGTTCTGAAAAGTAACAGCTTTTTGTTTACAGTTATCGCCGTTTTACGCCTCGCTACTTTATCGTATACGGAATATAAAGAACGAGCCGACCCGCGGCATATCATACGCCGCTATTTAGTTGTTGTTTTTTCTACTTTTCAGTTATTCATAATTTGTGAATTCGACACTACCAACGCTGCCACTGAAAATATTTCTTTAAAACACTATAAGTAGCTCGTTAAGGACGATACCCCCCTCCTTACCCCCCCCTCCGTTTTGTATGTATTGGCTGCAACTCATTTCTATATATCATACCTCCTTTAGATGTTAGTCTTGTAAGATATTAAAGCCGTACAACCCTAAAGGGACAGTATATCTTGAAAATAAACAATCTCTCTCTCTCTCTCTCTCTCTCTCTCTCTCTCTCTCTCTCTATATATATATATATATATATATATATATATATATATATATATATATATATATATATAACATATATAATATATATATATATATATATATATATATATATATATATATATATATATATATATATATATATATATATATATATATATATATATATATATATTATCATAAAATATTTCATGTGTATACATAAGAATTTCCTTGTTCGTCTTTCAGTGCTTATAATAACTACGTCGACTGCTATTTAAAACTAACTATCTGCAAAACTACAACAGATGTTAGACGTGCCGAAATATCAACAGTAAACTCTCTACTAAGTCAGAAAAATGCCGGCTGTTGTAAGTATATGTCTGTTTCTACAAGAGTCATTATTAAACACATACACAAACATAACAATCCATCGGTAAATATCGGTAAATGAAGAAGAGTGCAAATGTTTCTTACGACAGCATTTAAATGGATGTTGTGTAGTCAGCAGAATACTCAGCCTCATTTCCTTTCATCAACTTAGGTCAGTTACTAATCATAGCTGGGTGGACTCATGGACGTCCTACAGTCACTATGCATATATATATATATATATATATATATATATATATATATATATATATATATATATATATATATATATGTATATATTAATATATATATATATATTTAATATATGTATATATATACTGTTGATCATATGAAGATGAGCATTAAACGTGATAGTCATGGATTACAGGATAATCTACACATAGCCTCTATCTACTAACACCATCAAATATAATAAAATCCATTTTATTCCCACAGCTATTTCAGATTCCGGGACCTTAACCAGTAAGTATTTTCAATTCGTTTGAATTTTCAAAAAATAATTATTTCTATCAGTGCGTTTCTTGAATTTGTTCGTATTTGCTTTCCAGTGTATAACTCAGTATGTTTCTTTCCCTACATAAAATCACAATAAATTTTTCTAGTAGAAGTCATTATGATAATTGAATGTATGTTACGATACTTTGCCTCTGAAATGTCATTTAACTGGTTAAAATGTCATTCTAATTTACATGTATTAATTTTTACGTCATGTTCCCCTCCAGTTAGCAGAAACGGAGCTTCGCTAACCAGTCCTCCACACACAACACTGACAGTATGTGTAGCACTGTTCTATGTACTTCGTCGGTTGGTCTTCTAGAACGTCTGTAGCGGCCGAAACCAGACCCAGAACAAAGATGAATGGAAAGCTTTCCTCCGCCATCTATGACCCTTTCGTTTCTTGTAAGGTTGATGATCAAACATGTCGATGTTTCATGCATGTATTTTTAAGTCTTTTGTTTTACGCGACATACAAGGCTTTTATATTTTACAATGTGAATGGAAATAAACATCTTTCATTTAATTTTGTTGTATAGTTAATCCGGGTAGTTGGTTTATGGTAATATTTTGCTCATATGTATGCAACAAATAATAATCACTCATACAAAATAAAGTAGGAGATCATCAAAAGGGAGCACTCTTGATTCAATGGTACCATTGATATCTGTCGTAATAGCTTCCTTAAATTGAGTCGTTATAGATTTGCAGACAAAATTACCCAATCATGACAACAGCTGTACCACGTTGCATAACTTTTGTTTCACAATAAAAATGCTACAATTATTATTGGCACACACATACAAACTCCCGTCCACTCCTGTCTTAAAATAGACCTTACCTACTATGTAAAATAGCTTAAATTGTTAAAATTATTGCTGATTATTATTTCGCTGTTTTCTAATTATAACAGTGAGCATAGACATATTAAGATTTTAACAATGTACATTAAAACAGTGTTTCTTCCAGACTTTTTTCTCCGGTTGGGGGGGAGGGCGGTAGACTTTCTTCGGGGGGCGGACACTGTTAAAAGTATATATTTTCTGTATAAATTATATAAATAAAGAGATGCCTGGAAGACCATGAGATTAAAAAAAAGCGGTAGTGATCTTTCCCAAACTTTCTCGAGTATTCTTATATATCACTAAGGGGGATGACAATTCTAGTGTAATCGGGAAATGGACAGTCTGTCGACAGTCTGCTGTCGTGATGGATCGAAAACTGCGAGCAAACTTTCCGTCACTCCTAGCTGACAGATTCATTTCAAAGTTGGCACGTGGGTCAAGATTTTATGAAAATGAAATATGACAGTAAACTTGATATAATTGGAAGTATAATTATTTTTTTTCATGAATTAATTAAAATTTTCCGAAATTAGTAGACTACTACTATTCCTTACCATTATACGCGGATCGTCTTGTTCATCTGGTGTGCAATAGGTTTTAGTCATGCAACTCTATTGTAAATAAATAATTTAAAGTAGGACTAGTGAAAACAAAACGCATAAAAAAATTCACAAAAAACGTTTTAATAACAAGCTTTAATGCAATAATGCATTAAAAGGTAGAAAATAAATTATTTTCGTTAAATGTATACTAACACACTACTCTATAAATAACTATAAGAAAAGCCTGGGTCACTTTTACTAATATTTAAAAAAAACTCTTGTATTTTAGAATATTAGTATTTTATAAATTCATCCGCATTTTTTTGACAAATCAGAAATAAGGTTAACTACTTCTTTCGGTAAACGGAAATACTCAAAATTTGATAGCAGTTAGAGATTAAGATCGTTTCCATATATGTGACATTTCGTCTATCTATCTGAAACAGTACTCAAGTTATAGGATTGGAATAAGTTCCATTGCCAGTTACCAGAACAACAAACCTTATATGATACTTATATACGAAACGTTATCAATCAAGCGGTAACGGTACTCAAGTTATCGTTTTCACAGACACACAGACAAACATCCACACAGACCCCACATTGAGATACTGTCAAAATTGTAAAACTATATTTTGCATGTTTATATTCCGAGTTTTCAACCCCATAGTATTACACAGGAACATTCGAGAAAATGTAGGCGAGATCACTCCCGTTTTGTTATGTATCGTGTTTTAGTGTGTTATTTCCCTTGCTATCTTTTCCAATATTGAGAGGGAAAAAAAGCGATAACTGCAATAAGCTTACACACCATAACTGTGTCGACACGTTCACAAGCAGGTAACTTTAGGAAGGTACTCTTAATTATGTGTTAACTTCTTTAGCGTTATTATATCACATTCGTTGTAACATTTATATTGAAAAAATAATTTAAATAATTTTTCACTTTAATTCTATTGGCTTAACATTTTTATATGATTTTGGGTATCTTAGACATAGTGTTCTGGCTAGTGTTAAACTTAAGTAATGAAGCCAACGTTGAATATCAATTGAATGAGATATATGGTATTTTGGTTTTATCTTATGTTAGCTGTGTCCAATGACATTTAAACTGGGGGCGTTACTTAACTGTGCTACTTATGATAACGGGTGTGCTTTTCACGTATATTTTACTTGCGTGTTTGACTGTGCGTGTATTAACAGTGTAAATATTTTACGGCGTGGCAGAGGCGTAGCTTGGGGGCGGGGGAAGGGGTGAGCCTACATTCGGGGGGGGGGGGGGCGCAAAAGATGGTTAGCAAACAAATGAATTTCATGCTGAAATATCGAATTATTGACGTTAAAAGTGAAGGGAAAAAAACGGCTACAAGATTAAATACACCAATGTAACTGTTTTCTTCCTTGATTGTGTAAGCTTTTTCGCTTAGATCGGAAGTAGGATGTTAAACTTCTTTGTGGGTGAACAAATTGTTTAATCATTAAATCAATCTCCTGTGTTCATTAACGTTTAATGAACGATTTCTCTACTTTAAAGAGTGAGATCAGAAACTTTTAATTAATTGAAATATACCTTGTCTGGATTCACTGTATCATTGATTATTAATATTACGGATTCTATTACGGATTACGGCGACTTTAGTGATGGGCGATTCTGTTTGGATTAAATTTAATAATTTTAAAAAACTGTAACCAGACTTTTCATTTAAAAAATTTTTAAAACGTTTTTAATTATAAAATTAGTAAATTGTGTGTTGTCACTGCAGTTAAATTGCACACCTGTTTGGAAAGTTAAAAGCATGTATTTTCGCTGCATTCTAAACCGAACTTCTTGGATGGAATCACCATCTATAGAGCAGTTATTATTCCTTCCACCTGTACAGTTTGTCTGAATTTGTGTTGACCACAATTAAGCAGAGAGCTTCAGAAGACTTTACCGACGGTCAGTGATTGGTTGGTATCGATTTTCCTTTAGTATGAGGAGTTGTTCCTGCAAAAAGGGACAAATGTGTTCTGGTAAAAAGTTTTTGAGAACACCATGTTCTTTTCTTAGCTTGTAGAAAAAAACCTCGACTTTATTGACCACTGCAACGACACCTCTCCAACTTCTGCTGATTTGAATTTTGCTTCTGATTTCTTTAGAAATTTTGAACATTGAGTTTGCAGGCTATGATGAGCTACTAGTATTCTAATATTTTTTTTTCTTTTTTTGCAAAATATGTTTTTAGTCGCCCACATCCAGTCACTTAAACCAAAAGGTTTACCATATAGGAACATTATCCACCACTACATAGTTCTTTGAATCTTCCTTCTTGTTGCACTTGGGATAATTCGTTCAGCGATGATTGTTTCACCTCGTCATCAATATCACACACAGTAAAGTACCGTTTCAAACACAATGGTTTGCCCAGTATGCCCATCCGCCTTTATTTTCCCATTTTCCCTGAGTCAGGTACCGATCAAAGATGGATGCAAATAAAGATGTCCTATAGACTCGAGCCCATCATGGAAACTTGAGACTTTCTGGTTGGCAGCCGAACACTCTATAATTTGCCAACGAAGACATTTAATCATATACAGTTGCAGTCAATATCTGGCACAAAAAAATTATACCAATGGGTTTTTTATTTTCTCCTGTGGTGGCCTTATGGTTTGTCTCCTGGTCAGCCCTTCACGAACACACGCACACAAGCACACACACACACACACATCTCTCTATCTCTCTCTATCTCTCTCTCTCTCTCTCTATCTCTCTCTCTTGCTTAAGGTCAAAGACCCTTTTTATTCCCACGTTTTCTTTAACTTGCTTTCGTCTCTGTTTGTTTGTCTTTCCAATCAAATCTTGCGATCGAAATTTCTGGCACTTCCCAGTTAGCTAGCGCGCTGAAATTTTCAGGGAAGCTTTGTTTTGGATGACATTAGAATATTCAATTGTTATTATTACTAAATTGATCCATGGAATCATTTTATTGAGCATTTTAGACCGCTATATAATCTATATATATAATTCTCCTCTGCGAGCCATTAGAAAACAAGCTGCAAGCGCCTCCTTACAGTCCCCTCTCTTTCTCTCTATCACTATCACTACCACCCTACCCCACCCCCACATAATCTGGTGAGTTGTGGTCACGCTAAATGTTTACAAACCGTACAGCCAGGTTTAGTGACGGCTATTAGGGGCAGATAATTTAGTTTGAACCGACTTTAAACTTACAGGAGGTAACTAAGAGGAGGCTGCTTTCACGGGGGGGGGGGGGGGGTGTAGGGTCGGGGTAAGGGGAAAGGAGGGGGGTTAGTGTTTTAAAGCAAATATTTTCAGTGGCAGCATTGGTACTGCCGAATTCACAAATTATGAATTACTGAAAAGTAGAAAATAAATCAACTAAATAGCGGCGTATGATACGCCGCGGGTCGGCTCGTTGTAGTAAAAACGTGGGGAAAAAGGGACATAACCCAGTAACTGCAATTTGTGTACAAACAACCGTAACAACTGGTGGCCAGTATGGGGGAGACGATATGGTCGAGTGGTTGGGCACACGATTGCTATCCCACTCGACACGGGTTCAAATCTATGTGTTCTAGTCAGTAACGTATTCACACAACGTGTTTTTTACGAGTTGTCTTTTTACGAGTTGTCTTTTTACGAGTTGTCTTCGTTTACCCAAAAAAAAAAGTGAAAAGATAAAATCGATAGCAAGATTTTAATGCAAACAAACAGACAAAGACTAAAAAGTAGAAAATAATAATCATTAAAAAAGTTTAAAAAAAACCCACGTTTTCTGATTGAACTAAAAAGTAGAAAATAAATGCTATACATCACAATAATGCAAGCGATCACTCTACTATAAGCGATCAAAAACGTGGGGCGCCGTGATTTTCTTACAGTTTCTAATACTGTTGACTCTCTACAAGCTCCCTAATAAAAGTCAATAGTATTATCTAATCAATAGTAATATAACTTTTACTTCGGCGCCCCACGTTTTTCATCGCTTATAGTAGAGTGATCGCTTGCATTA